AAAGCTATAGGATACAGGTACCATCTTGCGTAAGAAAGGGGCGGATGACGGCCAGTGGCGGATCCAGAGCCTGATCTCGGGAGGGGCACTTGTAGATTATTTAAAGAAATAATCCAGACACAATAACCACTACAGCTCAGTGTAGTGGTTATGGTGTCAATAGTGCCGGGACCCCCTCCTAGAGTAAGTAGTCAAACCGTTTAAGAACAGTTTGACAACTTACCTGAGGTCTGCTGGTAAATTAGGCTGTAGTAGGGCATAGGAGCAGTGGTGTGTGTGAGTGGTGCAATGTGTAAGGGGTGCAGTGTGTGTGTGTGTGAAGGTTGTAGTGTGTGAGTAGGGGGGGCAGTGTATGTCAGGGATGCAGTGTATCTGTGGGACAGTATGTGTGTGTAACAGTTGCAGTGTGTGTGTGTGAGTGTGGGCAATGCGTGTGTATGGGGCGGCAGTGTATGGGGGCAGTGTGTGTATGGGGGGCAGTGTATGTCAGGGATACAGTGTATGTGTGGGACAGTATGTGTGTGTAACAGTTGCAGTGTGTGTGTGAATGTGGGCAATGTGTGTGTATGGGGCGGCAGTGTATGGGGGCAGTGTGTGTGTATGGGGGGTAGTGTGTGTGTATGAGGGCAGTATGTGTGCATGGGGGGCAGCATGGGGGCAGTGTGTGTGTATGGGGGGCAGCATGGGGGCAGTATGTGTGTATGGGGGGCAGCAGGGGGCAGTATGTGTGTATGGGGGGCAGCATGGGGCAGTATGTGTGTATGGGGGCAGCATGTGTGTATGGGGGGCAGCATGTGTGTGTGTATGGGGGGCAGTATGGGGGCTGTGTGTGTGTGTGTGTGTGTGTGTGTGTGTGTGTGTGTTTTTTAAGGGTAGGGGGGCTTTTTTTTTATAATATATATTTTTAAATATTTAATTAAAAAATATATATATCCTATGCCCCCCCTCCCTTCTTCCCTTTACTGGGGAGGAGGGGGGACATATTTCGATCCCTGGTGGTCCCAGTGGGATTCCCTGGTGGTCCAGTGGGGACAGTGAACCCTAGCCCGCGCTCCCGGGCTAGAGTTCACTCTCGCGAGATTTGGAGCGTTGCCGCGGTAACCGCGGCAACGCTCCAAATCTCGCGAGAGGAGGACCCGGAGGAGCTGCAGCCTAGCTCCGGGTCCTTCCTCCCTCCCTCCCTCCCCTGCCGGCTGCCAGCACAGTGCCTGCGGACCGGGGAGGGCGATCTCTGATCTCCCCTCCGGTCCGCAGGCACATTGCAGGGCTAGCACCTGCATGTGCTGGCAGGGGAGGGAGACCGGCGGATTTCTCGGGGGGGGGGCAATTGCCCCGTTGCCCCCCCCCTGGATCCGCCAGTGCTGTGAGGTGGTGGCCCTGCTCCTTTTTGCATGAGACAACTCTTTTTCTGTGTTGACTTGCCCACGGTGGGTGTCGCTAGTGATAATTATCAAAACTAATTCAAGTACAATAGTGAACCCTGGTGGTCCCGTGGTCTCTGTCAGCACTTTAGGTCAGCACCGATGTTATCAGAGTGTTGCCATGGTAACCAGAGGCCACGCTCTGAATGGAGGTAAAGATCTCAAGAAGACTGCTCAGTATCTGCTTCTGGCCAACTTACACAACTTAAGCACTCTGGGACGACTCCTCCATATCAGGCAGAAACTGGGCTGGTGAGGGAGATCCTCAATCTGTCCACTTGCCAAAAATGAGGAAGAGCTCTCTCTCTAAGGGCGGGTTGGCCGGCCCAAGGCGCTTTTCCCTACCAGAGCGCTGTAAGGTAGCGTAGGCCCTGCTTGTCGCACATCCCTAAGGCTGGCCCTGCGTGTGACTAATAAAGAACATCCTGTGCACTATAAAGACTTCAATACTACACTACACTTTAATGCAGAAAGATTGAGAAGGAAAAGGATCAGCAAGGATCAGGAAGAGTCTGCAAGGAGCAAAAATGGTCTGCAGGGAGCAAAAAGGGTAAGTAGGAAAAGTAGCAGGAAGGGTATGCAGGGAGCAGAAAGGGGCAGGGTCAGCAAAGATAAAATTGGAGAAGGAGCAAAAAGGACAGGAATGGACAGCAAGGAGCTGGAAGGGTCTCCAACGAGCAGAAAGGGACAGAAGGAGCACAAAGGTAAAGTAGGAAAAGTAGCAGAAAGGGTCTGCAAGGAGCAAAAATGGTCAGTAAGGAGCAGGAAGGGTCTGCAAGAGGCAGAAAGAAGTAGGAAAGGAAAGAAGGAGCACAAAGTTAAAAGAGCAAAAAGAATCAGAAGTGGCACAAAGGTAAAGTTGGAGGAGGGGCAAAAAGAGTCAGCAAGGAGCAGGAAGGGCCTGCAAGGAGCAGAAAGGGACAGAAGGAGCACAAAGGTAAAGTAGGAGAAGGAGCAGGAAGGGGCTGCAATTAGCAGAAAGGGTCTACAAGGAGCAGAAAGGTGCAGAGGGAGCACAAAGGTATATTAGAAGGAACATAAAGGATCAGCAAGGAGCAGAAAGGGTCAGAAAGGAGCAGGAAAAGTCTGCAAGGAGCGGAAATGGCCAGCAAGGAGCACAAAGGGAAAGGAGAAGAAAGAATCAGAAGGAGCACAGAGGTAAAGTAGGAGAAGGAACAGAATGGATCAGCAAGGAGCAGAAAGGGTCAGCAAGGTAAAGGAGAAGAAAGAGTCAGAAGGAGCACAAAGGTAAAGTAGGAGAACGAACAGAAAGGGTCAGCAAGGAGCAGAAATGGTCATCAATGAGCAGGAAGGGACAGAAGGAGCAGAAAGGTAAAGTAGGAGAAGAAACAGAAAGGGTCAGCAAGGAGGAGAAATGGTCAGCAAGGAGCAGGAAGGGACAGAAGGAGCAGAAAGGTAAAGTAGAAGAAGAAACAGAAAGGGTCAGCAAGGAGCAGAAAGGGTCTGCAAGGAGCAGAAATGGTCAGCAAGGAGCAGGAAGGGAAAGCAAGGAT